GATTGATTGATAGATAGATAGATAGATAGATAGATAGATAGATAGATAGATAGATAGATAGATAGATAGATAGATAGATATTTAGATTGATTGATATATAGATAGATAAATAGATAGATAGATAGATTGATATTCAGATTGATTGATATTCAGATAGATAAATAGATAGATAGATAGATAGATAGATAGATAGATAGATAGATAGATAGATAGATTGATATTCAGATTGATAAATATTCAGATTGATAAATATTCAGATAGATAGATAGATAGATAGATAGATAGATAGATAGATAGATAGATAGATAGATAGATAGATAGATATTCAGATTGATTGATATTCCGATAGATAGATAGATAGATACAGTGGGTACGAAAAGTATTCAGACCCCCTTACATTTTTCACTCTTTGTTATATTGCAGCCATTTGCTAAAATCATTTAAGTTAACTTTTTTCCTCATTAATGTACACACAGCACCCCATATTGACAGAAAAACACAGAATTATCTATCTATCTATCTATCTATCTATCTATCTATCTATCTATCTATCTATCTATCTATCTATCTATCTATCTATCTATCTATCTGTCTATCTATCCATCTGTCTATCCATCTGCATATCTATCTATCCATCTATCCATCTACCTATCATTCTATCTATCTATCTATCCGTCTATCCGTCTGTCTATATCTATGTGTTTTAATTATTTATAAATAATTATAAAGTAATATTAAATTATAATATTTTAAAATATACAATATTAAGTATGATTTCTTTATAAATATTAATTGTATATATATATATATATATATATATATATATATATATATATATATATATATATATATATATATATATATATATATATATATATGCTATCAACATCATAGAATGCATAACATGCAAACATTACATTAAACCAGGGTTTCCCAAACTGGGCTTAATGTAAGAACTGCAGTGGGTTTGTGAGTAGATAAAAGCTATTAATTAATTAAATCATAAACATTTCAAATAAATTATTTGAACACTAGACATATTTAATTAGTTTACCTGCTTGTCAATATGACCTTTAACCTTCATCAGAGAACTTTATTTACATGAATTAAGTTGATTTAAATGAGATTTACAAGGCCATTCTTTATTGTTAATATAGTCAAAGCTAAATGGTATGACACACAGTTGGATTTTTAGAAAGGAAAATTTAAGAGAGAGAAAAGAATAATTAGGGAGAATCAATAAGTTATGAATGATTTACATCCATTGTGTGAATGATATGTAATTATGTAATCCATAAAAGTAACTGTAATTGCTGATTCTGAGCGTTATAAAATGTAATATGTGACCCTGGAGAAATAAATAAGCTGAATAAATAAGCTGTCCATTGATGTATGGTTTGTTAGGATCGGACAATATTTGGCCGAGATACAACTATTTGAAAATCTGGAATCTGAGGGTGCAAAAAAATCTAAATATTGAGAAAATCATCTTTAAAGTTGTCCAAATGAAGTTCTTAGCAATGCATATTACTAATCAAACATTAAGTTTTGATATATTTACGGTAGGAAATTTTCTAAATGTCTTCATGAAACTCATCTCACTGCACAGAAAGAGATTCAGTGTTCCTCAAAATGAATGAAAACCGTGCAATGCAAACCTGCAATAATTAAATGTATTAAATAACGCAAATATCTTGTATGCATTTAATCCCAATTTCTTAACCAATATCTTTGCTGCCAACCTTCGATGATCCACTTCAACCATATTAATAAGCAAAAATGACTTAAGATAAACATGACATTTGTTTTTCTTTTTTAATTGCTGAAGAGTGTTGAACTTTCTTCTCCTGCATTCTATGCTTCGTGCAATCCAGAATGGCTGAGGCTTATCCATTTCACTTTTGGTGTGAAAGGGCCTTTCCATTTGCCAAAAATAGACATTTTTATATTAAAAACAAATTAGCAAGCCCAGCCCAGATGAGGCAAAAGTAATGTAACACACTACTTTCCATAATAAGTAACTAAGTACCACAATTAGGTACTTTTTTAGGGAGTAACGTAATATTGTGATGCATTACTTTTAATGCAAAGTAACTTTCCCCAACACTTCAGGTGGCACCTGTGGACAGTCGAGGAGAGCGCTTGCTGGCGGCGCTCCAGGCCTCACCCAGGAGGAGGTGCGTCTGTGGCCCGTCATGTGTGTTTGACGCCTCCATCAGCGGCCCAGATGACGAGGAGAAGCTCTCAGTGAACTCCTCATGCAGGAGACCATCCATCCAAGATGCTGCTCCAAAGGTCTGTGCAAGTCAAAGCTCAAAATGCTCATGCGTTTAAGGCAAAACACCACAGGTGAAATCACAATACTTGCATTGCCAATTGAAATATTGTTGGAGTTTTTTATTACTGGTTTTCTGAAATGTCATGGTTAAATTTGCATTTAGAAGACAATGATAACAGTCCATTGAAAACACAACCAACCAGTGGACAGATCTGGAAAGAATGACAGCATGCTTATGAATAAAAATGTATTTAAAAAGATGGACATTAGGTACCTAATTAAGATGGGTTGTAGTGATTAGGAACACAGTGTACAGTTGATTAAAATAATACTGTGTAACCTTCTCTTGGTATCTTCTTTTGATGAATGTTTTGTTTTATTTTATTTTTTATGTTTATTTGTATTTTATTTATTTTATTTTATTTTATTAATATGTTTTTAAAAGATGCATTATCTAATTAAATATGCACTATTTTATTTATTTTTTATTTATTGTTTTATTTTGCACTAATTAAAAATTTAAATATGATTTCCATTTATTTTCACCATGTTTTTAGGAATACAGAATATAGAAGAATATAGAAAGGAATAAAACTCTAAAGTTTGTTGAATGTAAGTGTTACTGAAGTGGGGGGGGGGGGAAACGTGTGGCCTTTAAAGATATGTATTGAAACTGAAATCTACGGCATCATAAAAGAAACACTTAACTTTGTATTTTGGATGTTTTCTTTCCACTAGTCTGAAAAAAGACATGTTATAGTAGCAAAATATGTCAAAATTGATCAGTGCATGAAAAAACACAGGTTTTGCATGTAGTGTCTTGCCTTAAGAAAATCAAACAAATTTTATATAAAACATTAATTTCAAGCATTTCAGCAGAAGTCAGTGATCTGGCTGCTAGTATATGGTGTTGTTGATGTTGACGCGTGTGCAGGGTTTCCAGTGGCGTGTGGTGGAGCCTCAGACGCTCCAGAGTAAAGAGAAAGTCTTCTCCATCGCTGCGGCTCTTCCTCGGCCGTGTTACGCCTCTCTGATGAGTCTGAGATCAGACGAGAGACGTCCCTTCAGTCAGAGCGAGCACACGCCGCTGCACATCGCTCAGCAGCTCACCTTACTGGAGCAGGTGATCAAAAACACCCCAGTGCATTCATCAAACATACATGTTGATGCACACACACGTTTGGAATAATTATGATTTTTTTAAGTGTTGAAAGAAGTCTCTTCTGCTCGCCAGGGCTGCATTTATTTGCTCAAAAATCCAGTAAAAATTGTGAAATGTTTTCTATGTGAATATGTGTTAAACTGTAATGTATTTCTGTGATGCACAGCTGTATTTTCAGCATCATTACTCCAGTCTTCAGTGTCACATGATCTTCAGAAATCAGTATAATATGCTGATTTGCTGCTCGAGAAACATTTCTGATGATTATCAATGTTGAAAACAGTTGTGCTGCACAATATTTTTGTGGAATTGGTTGCACACTATGCTTGTGTTCTGTAAAGATGTGTTAAATTGATCAAAAGTGACAGTGAAGATATTTCTAATGTTCCAAAAGATTTCTATTTCAAATAAATGCTGTTCTTTTGAACTTTCGATTCATCTGTGAATCCCGAAAAATAAAATATTTCTGTGATGCGCAGCTGTATTTTCAGCATCATTACTCCAGTCTTCAGTGTCACATGATCTTCAGAAATCAGTATAATATGCTGATTTGCTGCTCGAGAAACATTTCTGATGATTATCAATGTTGAAAACAGTTCTGCTGCACAATATTTTTGTGGAATTGGTTGCACACTATGCTTGTGTTCTGTAAAGATGTGTTAAATTGATCAAAAGTGACAGTGAAGATATTTCTAATGTTCCAAAAGATTTATATTTCAAATAAATGCTGTTCTTTTGAACTTTCGATTCATCTGTGAATCCCAAAAAAAAAATGTATCACGGTTTCCACAAAAATATTGTGCAGCACGACTGTTTTCAACATTGATAATAATCAGAAATGTTTCTCGAGCAGCAGATCAGAATATTATACTGATTTCTGAAGATCATGTGACACTGAAGACTGGAGGAATGATGCTGAAAATACAGCTGCGCATCACAGAAATATTCTTCACAATTTTTACTGCATTTGTGATCAAATAAATGCAACCTTGGTGAGCAGAAGAGACTCTTTCAAAAACATAAAACTTAATGATTCCAAACTTTTGGCTTATAGTGTAACTCAAAATACATATGTCCTTAATTTCCAATTTTCATTATCATCCTTTATTTTATTTTATTTTGACTATCATTTTTCCTGTCTTTTGGGCTCTGTTCTCACGCTGTCATTTCCTGATCCAACTCTAGGTGGAGACACGTGATCATCTTATTTTCATGCTGGTCTTGGTTCTCACTTGGAAACAGACTTTATATGAGGACAGCATCACTATATCATGTATGTTCATATCCCATCGTCTGTTATTTATGCAGGAAATATTTCAGGACTGTCATCCGGTTCACTTCCAGAACTCAAGAGCTCACGGAGTGACAGAAAGCTCTGGAAACATTTCCAGGTATTATCATTTTTCCTGTCTTTTGGGCTCTGTTCTCACGCTGTCATTTCCTAATCCAACTCTAGGTGAAGACACGTGATCATCTTATTTTCATGCTGGTCTTGGTTCTCACTTGGAAACAGACTTTATATGAGGACAGCATCACTATATCATGTATGTTCATATCCCATCGTCTGTTATTTATGCAGGAAATATTTCAGGACTGTCATCCGGTTCACTTCCAGAACTCAAGAGCTCACGGAGTGACAGAAAGCTCTGGAAACATTTCCAGGTGAGTTTCCGCTGTCCCAAGCTGATTTTCTAATTCTAGTTCTTCTAAAAACAAACCCTGCTGAACAGTGACCAAACAGCATATTTTACATGCATAAGTTTCAAGATTCAAAGCGTTTATTGTCATGTGCACAGCGAGGAAAACAGGTTCCCTGTACAGTGAAATTCTTTCTTTGCTGTCCACAGTGAATGCCAAGACAAGAGCAAAAACTATGTAAAAAGTAAAATAAACACACTCACTCAAACATAAGAAAAATAAAATAAAACTATGCTGTAGAAATATAAACTATGTAGATATAGAAGCATAGACTATGTACATCTGTATGTGCAAATACAAGTACAATATTGATTAATGTGCAAAATAACAGTACAGTAACATGTGCAAACTGAATGCAACTATATGATGATAATAGCATCAGTAACATTACCAAATGTGTAAAAATGAGAAGCGAAAAAATTATTTTCACCTAAAATCTTGATTTTAAAAAGTGCATGTGTGTATATTTATATTTCAGCTTCACAGATATGTCCAGTCTGTCTGTAGTTCTGTGTGCAGACTGTGTAAATGTTGCTGTGTGTTGGTCAGGTGTGCGTCTCCAGCCTCCTCGCCTCTAGAGGGCAGCAGTCTGTTGCTCAGGGACGTGTCGGGGCCCCGGGGCCCGCTGCAGAAGCTCCTCACACACGCAGACTGTGTCGCTGACTGGGTTTCTGCTGAACTCGTCATCTGTGACTCGGCCAAGGTGATTCCTCTGAGTTTATCGAGTATTTACGCATCTTATAAATGTGATCAATGAAACTGGATATGAATGTTCACAGCAGCAACATTGTGAGTTATATAATAAGTATGACATTATTAATATTAATAGTAACATTAATGCTTTGCAGCTGTATTAATTAATTCGTTTTTTATTTTGAATTCTTAATTGTTGTTGTTGTTATTATCACCATTTTATACCATTAATGATAAAAACTGCTTCATAGCAATTTCTTTTAATTATTTTAATAATTTTTTAATTGTTTTAAACAAATTCTTATTTTTTTATATATAATAATAATAACAATAATAAATTATTGTATCAGTAACCCATCTATCTATAACATTAATAATAATAATAAAAACCTGCTTCATACTGTTTTAATTACTTTAATTATTAGATTTAATTAACTAATTATATATTAATATAGCATCATTTTTGTTAAGTCTTTGTGTGTGTGTGTGTGTGTGTGTGTTTGTGTGAGAGAGAGTGTGT